TTATGCCCGTTTCAAAATGCGGTCAAAATGGCGGGCTTGACCGTTCCTAGCTAGTGGTTGATTCTTGGAATTTTTTTTGTGTTTATCTGATTAAATAGATACTTATGTACCTATAAATGATTTTTGAAAAAAATTAAAAGCAAACTATGAGGCAGCCGTAGTTCAAATTTGACCCGCTTCCAACTAAATCGGCAGAAATTTGTCTTTTTCACAAGAGGTGGATAAAAGCTTTTCAAACCCAACCATTTGGTCAATTGTGCATTAAATATGTCCTAGTATTTTAGAAAATTTATTTGGTACAATTTTACAACAAATAGTTGGTAGGACGTTCACAAAAAAACTCATCTTGGGCACTCGAAAAATGGGAAATGAATTTTTCGTCCAAAGAAAATGAAAACTTCCTTAGGCAACATTGTTTGTCATTCCAATATGCAGCCTCGTGCACAATATGAGATCATTTGAACAAACTATGTCATGAATGTGGCCCTAAGATTGATAATTTGGCTTGAAAGCCATGAATCTTCACACTTGATAGCTCGTTTCCGAGAACACTTCTTTAAAAAAATTGCCTTATTACAAGTTTATAATTTTTCCTGGTAACTTGGTCACATATAATGACGCAATGCAAAGGTTTTCTATTTTTTTGTTTTTTTTTTGAATTTTTTTGCCCATTTCAAAATGCAGTCAAAACGGCGGGAATGACCGTTCCAGCTAGTGGTTGAATCTTGGAATTTTTTTGGTGTTTCTCTGATTAAATAGATACTTATGTACCTATAAATGATTTTTGGAAAAAATAAAGAGCAAACTACGAGGTAGCTACAGTTCAAATTTGACCCCCTTCCAACTAAATCGGCGGAAATTTGTCTTTTTCACGAGATGGATCAAAACTTCTTACACCCAACCATTTGGTCAATTGTGCATTAAATATGACCTAGTATTTTAGAAAATTGACTTGGTACAATTTTGCAACAAATATATGGCAAGTCCTTCACAAAAAAAACTCATTTTGGGCACTCGAAAAATGGAAAATGATTTTTTCGTCCAAAGAAAATGAAAACTTCCTTAAGCAACATTGTTTGTCATTCCAATATGCACCATTGTGCATAGTATGAGATCATTTGAACAAACTATGCCATGAATGTGGCCATAAGATTGAGCATTTTGGTTGAAAGCCATTCATCTTCACACTTGATAGCTCGTTTTTGAGAACACTTTTTAAAAATAATCATCATATTACAAGTTTATAATTTTTGCTGGTAACTTGGTCACATATAATGACACAATGCAAAGGTTTTCCAATTTTTATTTTTTTATTTTCTTATGCCCATTTCAAAATGTGGTCAAGCGGGCATGACCGTTCCTAGCTAGTGGTTGAATCTTGGAATTTGTTTGGTGTTTCTCTCATTAAATAGATACTTATGTACCTAGAAATGGTTTTTGAAAAAAATAAAGAGCAAATTACGAGGCAGCTACAGTTCAAATTTGACCCGCTTCCAGCTGAATCGGCGAAAATTTGTCTTTTTCACCAGAGGTGGATCAAAACTTTTTACACCCAACCATTGGATCCATTGTGCATTAAATATGTCCTAGTATTTTAGAAAATTGATTCGGTCCAATTTTGTAACAAATATATGGTAGGTCCTTCACACAAAAAACTCATTTTGGGCACTCAAAAAATGGAAACTGACTTTTCATGAAAATAAAATAAAAAATCCATTTGGCAACATTGTTTGCCATTCCAAGATGCAAACTTGTGTGAAATATGGAATCATTCGAACAAACTATGAGGTAGCTGTAATTAAAATTTGACCCGCTTCGTAGTGAATCGACGAAAATCCCACCTAGTATGAAACTACCTTTAGTTATTTGGGGGAACCGTACTTAAACATTCTCATAAAAAGAGAAGGGAACTTACCGCCGGGCGTCGTGGTGCTGCGTTGGATCTCGTCGACGCTGCAATGGAGCTTCGTCGGGCACCATGGTGCTGCGTTGGAGCTTTTAGCACGCCGTTGAGAGCTGTAATGGAGCTTCATGGGGATGTTATCGGTGCTGCATTGAAGTTTTTTCATGCTCGGTGCTGTCGTGACATATTGATGTGATCGAACGATAGCCAATGCACAGATCGGGAGGCTAGCTAGGCGGATGATTTATAGACAAAATCATCTGGCTGACTCATAGTTCTTTGCTTATTGTTAATCGATTAAGACCAATTTACATGGTCAAAACATCATCAAAGCCTATACTTCCTTCTGATTGGTCCGTGGACATGTTCACGCGGATCAAGCATCAGAGACCGTCGGATACTCACAGATCCAGCGGCCCACACCCACCTCACCCTCTCACTCCTGGTCCCAACCCGCAGTCCAACCACCCAAACCCTAACTGAGATCCCACCGCTGCCCCCTTCTCCCTCCCAGATCCAATCCAAGTCAGAACCACTTGCCCTCCCGCCCCGACCTCCGTCTCCATTCTTGCGTGCATCGGCCACCTCCCTCCGGCGGGGCTCGAGCCACACCCCCCAAGCGCCGCTGCTCCACCCTCTCCCGTGCCCATCCACTGCACGCATCGTCGGACTCACCATCCTCCGCTGCACCGTGGAGATGGGTGCGTCTGTGTCCACCCTCTCAGTGGAGGCATAGGGGCGCCGCGGCGGTGATGGGGAACAAGATCGCGTTGCCAAATCCATCCACCGAATCCTTGAAACCCTAGCAGCGAAATTGACTCGATCGAAAAAGTTCTTCATCTTCCTTGATTTGGTGCTGATTTGTGGTTTGTTGGCGCGCGCGCAAGAGGATGTGACGGTGGATAGGACGCCCAAGGAGTGGGAGGCCAGGCTGAGGTAGCTCGAGTTCGTGTAGCAGGCGGCCGCGCAGGCTGTCTTGCTGGTCACCGTGGCATACGCGTATGCCAAGCAGGGCACCGGCCCACTCCGCCCCGGCGTCGACTACGTCGAGGGGACCGTCAAGGCCATCGTCGGCCCCGTCTATGACCGCTACCACGTCGTGCCGCTCAATCTCCTCAAGTTCCTCGACCACAACGTGAGAACCTCAACCATGTTTCTTAGTTGCATGCAAGGATCTATTATCCGATTCTGTTCCTGGCCGTTGCCTTTTGCCACTAGAGCACCTAGGTGTTCTCTGTTTCTTGATTTCCCGTCGCATCTGCATAGTGTTATCAGTTGTTATGACGATGAAATGGCTTGTCTAATCTTATGGTGGATTGGTTTATCCTGTTAATTCTGGTTTTGCAAAGTAATACGGATGATGTCCTGACAATTTGATACCTAGAAATCAAGATGTTTTCCTTGTCTGTTGACCACAAACCTTGATAAGTTAAACCCAGGTGCATGATTTTATACCTGATCTGATATGCTTTTAAACTGTACCTGTGTACTGAACCCAAGTTAAGTATACCCGAGTATTCTCACGCTTGCATAATATGTGTGAGCTAGGTTTCAGTTGGCCTACCCACTGTCAGTTGTTCTCTTAACATGTTTGCCTCTGGTGTTTTACTAGCTACTACCAGTAGTACAGATTCCTGTGTTGTATGTTCGCTTGTCTAACTTTGTTTCCTTTTCTTTTCTTTTCTTCTGCACGACTGACCCTAAATATGTAGTGTAGTTTAGTGGGTATAGTCTCCAATGTCAAAATGCCAAACACACCGCAACTTGCGAAATGTCTCTCTCTGCATCTATGCTTGAAGAGGTACAAGGCAATGCTTTTTCTTTAGGGAAAATAAAGTACAGTAATTGAAAGAACGAAAGGAAAGGCCAAAACACAGGCTGGTGGGTTGGAAATTCCCAGCTTCAGTACACATTTCACTTGCTTTGTGTGTGTGTGTGTGTGTGTGTGTGTTTGTGTGTGTAACTGTTGTGTAGATCACAAAATGGCTAGCAAAACAGGCTTCGCATAAAATGATTTATCTTGTACATTGATGTGCCTCACTTGTATACATGAAACCATACTTGCCAAATATCAAGTACACTGCTGAATCATAACGTCTTGTTTTCTGTTCAGCCAAGCAATGTCGAGCTTAGCTACCTAGGTGGCCCTAACCTACCATACCTGCACTGCATGCATAGTAGAGTAGAGAAGCAAAATGTTCAAAACTAATATCTTGTGGGTTGTATACAATGTGGCTCATGGTTACATGCATACAATGTGGCTTGCCTTGAAAGAAAAGAATGTTCAGGAATTAGCAAGTATAATTTGTGAGGTGTAGTGATATGGATTTGTTTGTACATTTGAAATCAATGAGTGTAGGTGTGGTCTTTGTACATTGTGAGGTTCAAAACTAATATCTCCTCTAGGAAACAAATATTTCACAAGGCCTGCTCTGCTTTGAGTTGGTTCGAATTTGAATGGTTCACCGTGTGTAGGTGTGATCTGAATTCTGAATGGGTCTTTTGGCGGTACATGAAGGTCGGGAGCGCCAAGGTGCACCTCACGCGCGGTGCTGCTGGCAAGAAGGACATGGGTGAGGCCTTCTTCATCTTCATGTACGTCCCGTCCTTCCCCTCCTTTGCTTCCTTCATCAGATTCTATTTTTCCGTTGTTGTTTCCCCATGGTTCCCGGACGGCCCTTGTTCTGTACCTGCCTTTTGTTGATTGGTTGCCATCAGGGGGAGTTCCGCAAGGAGTTCAAGCAGAAGAACCCCAAGAACAAGTCTGCCACTGCTGTAAGTTTCTTACAAAGACTAATTCCCACTCCCGATTTGCTTTATACACCAGCATGTACACAGTAGAAATTAATCTGCCAGCTGCTGTATATTGGGTCATCATGGCGGAGCTGATTAGTTGCTTCCGCTGTAAATTTTTTGTCCACGTAGGCAAAGCAGCCGGTGGGAGGTGGAAGAGCTTGAGCGAGTCGGTAAGTTATTGTGCGTTTGTTTGTCATTCATTTTCTAGATCTTGCACGCGAGGTGTTTGTTTGAATGTGCCGACGGCGTTTGATTAACTGATTCGTTGTTGGTGAACTTGCTGGTATTGTGCATGTAGATCATGGTGTACCAGCTTTGCAAGGGCGTTGCTTTTTGCCACGGACGCGGTGTCCGGCACCATGACCTTGAGCCACACAACCTACAAATTGGTGGATGGGTTGGTATCATCTGGTTTGATCCCAGCAAGAGGAAGTGTTCTCTTCTCTTTATCAACCAAAGGCATTTTCTTCTCTCATGGATGGATGGGACTCCATCAATTTAGTATCAGTTTAGGTGTTAGTATGTTGTTGATGCTTCTGTTGATGCCATGCTTTTTGTCTTGTAATGTGCTGATATTAACTGGCAGCATTAGCTCCCATGATTGCTTGCTTGCTTGCTTACTCTATAACCTGTACTGATAAAACATGTTATCCTACTCCATGATGCTATATCATTTGCAAATACTCCTGGACATCAGCTCCCATGATGTTGCATTAGCTATAATTTGTACTGCTAAAAGAGGAGTGTAAACTGGAGTATTTTTTTCAGCCATTATCTTTGCTTTCTTTTGGGCGGATGCTCTCCACTGGAGTACCGCTGGGTACTGCATCTCTTTGCATTCCTTTTTCAGTCAGTGCTTGAACATTTTTTTAAAGATGAATTGGAATACTCCTGGACAGTAGTACATGGAGTTAGCTGTAACTTCTTGCAGTATTAGCTATAGCAGTCCATTAGGAGTAGTTTTGCATTAGTAGCATTAGGAGTAACTTCTTGCAGAAACTCATTTGACACATATTGTCATGCATCAGTAGCATGTTTGCTTGTCTTGCCTTATTCTATGGCTTGGTGTGGGCGGGTGCAGACACGGAGGGGTTCTACATGGAGGTTCAGGAGAAGATCTCGCTAGGTACGACAACGTGTTCAACTGGTCCCTCAAGGCCAATATGATGGGTGAAAAGGCCACCGAGTTGGCGCACAACTTCATCGACGAGTGCGGCCTCGCTAGCCTGCTCACCCCGGAGCAGTTACTCGAGGAGCGCGAGGGCATGCTGCAGGAGCTCTTCCCCTCCTGCGCCGTCTTGCCTGGTTTGTTTCTCCCCTTCTAATCATACTCTTGAGTGTTTATCTGTAAGTGATGTGTCGAGCTTAGTCACTTGCCAGTTGAGTGGGCAACTAAATTGCGGGTTTAGTTTAACATGGCTGCTTAACTGTAGGACCATTATGTCTTTGATAGTTCAATTCACTTTGTTGATAATCTGTTAGACGGAAGAAGAGAAGGAATGGAATTTGAGTTGTAGAACATCTTTTAAGTTGATGTAATTAGCTTTCCTGCAATTGCTTTGGTTGCTTTTGTGGCTTGCTAACATCTCCATAATACTAGACTGGATGGATGATGTGCTTGCTTACTTGTTGTGATTGCAATGAACCATGTGGTATATGCTCTCCACTTCACACAAGGCCCAAGGGATCAGTATATTGACCAGCAGAACTCTTTAAAAAAATAGTTAATATGTTCCTAGTGTTCGTGCAAAATGAGTTAAGTAGTTTAAATTTGCGGTTACATAGTTTCACCTTCACATTTCTTCATTTTTCTTGACAAGTTGAATATGTTCAGCTGGTCTGAAAACAAAGAAACATTCAGTTCATTTATACCGAATCTTTTAGAAAACCTGAAGGAGATATCTAATACAACTATCTGATTATTCCCCCAACCTTGTAGACTAGTAGATTAGATCTAACTACACAAGTATAGAATGCTCAAATTAGTATGTACTGTTGCACAAGTTTAATGCAGAGCATTTCGGTAGTACTGCTGTACAAGTTTACTATAGTATTTTGGTATGCACTCCTGAACAAGTTAATGTAGTATTTTGGTATGTACTGGTGTACAAGTTTAATGTGGTGTTTTGGTATGTACTGCTGAGTTCATAACCATTTTGTTTTGCAACATGCAGATGATTTCCTTCATTCATGTTTCGATGTGAGCTCTAGGTCGAAGTTGGAAGAAGACATGCAGGATCTAGGCATGCATGCATGCTCTCTTATCCCTGCTTATGCTCCTTAGGAGATGTGAATTTCTGGGACTTTTGATGTACTCCCAGCATTTATCTTTTCTCTTATTTGTGGTCTGGTGTCATATTATGGTCTAATATTTTTTGTTTTGACTCTTTTTTTGGTGCGAGGAAAGCTGTGAGTAGACGTCAAAGATTCCTACTTGCTTGGCTGCTACAGTGATGCATGTGCCGGTCAAGCAAGCACAAGCATATACGTACATGTTAGGATAGTAGCAGATATTCCCTCTGTTCCTGCTATATTCCTGTGTAAATGTATTTCTAAGATGATTTTGTTGTGTTATGTAAACCTAGGAGATGTGTTATGTGATGTGATATGATGGATGATTTGAATTCGACATGGAGTTTTGCTGATTTGAATATGAAACAATTTTGTCCAAACATTTCTTTCATAATCTAAGATCTAATATTGGACAAATAATTGGGATGGAAAAGGCCACAAACCAACAAGCATTGGACTGTTTAAAAAGCGAAACAAAAAAACCTTAGAAAATAAAAAAGAAATATACTGCAAAAAAGGCCGAGGCCCCCTAGTATGGAAGGACCTACCAAAAAGGCTGAATTGTGGGGTATGGCCCATGCTGAAATTAATAGGAAAAAATATAGAAAGGCTGAATTGTTGGGCTCGGCCCATATAAAACACCTAATCGGACCGGGCTGAATCTTATCAACGACCTTTTCAATTGGTTGCAATTTTGCCACGTCAGATTGCCACGTCGAATCCGATGTGGCCTGGGCAGACAGCCAGTGACCAAAACAAAAGGTCATGGGTTCAACGACCTTCTGTTTTGGTCACAAAAAGGTCGCAAATGAAAAACAATGACCTTTTAGTGACCAATAGTCAAGGTCAAAAGTTGACTTATTTCTTGTAGTGGCACCTGAACCAGTCAAGTTTCCCACTCCTCTTTAGTTTGTGACTCGACTGCCGCGTCTTCCCCATCTCCGGGTCATTCCAGTCTGGGGCCTCGCCGTCGTCCACCGCCTCGCTTCGCTTGGCGCTGCGTGGTCAACAAACGGGAGTCATCAGAAGAGGACTGTACGTGAGAGCCTAACGGCTGGGACCCATGAGGTCCATGGTCGCACGCAAGGAAAGTTCCTCCTTATTAAGCTGTTTCCTTCCCCTGGCAGCTGGGACCCACCGGCTGTATCTTCGCACGGAAGGAAGTGCCTCCTTGTTATGCGAAAAAACTATTCCTTCTGATGACAGCTAGGACCCGGCAGATTTGGTGGCTGACTTTTGGACCCACCATATTTCGTGAAAAAAATGTTTCCACCGCTGCCAGCTTGGACACACCAGAAGTGCCTCCTTATTACGCACAAAAAAAGAATACTCCCCCTGCTGGCTGGGACCCACCTTGGTGGGAGGCTGACTCGTGGGCCTACTAAGTTGACGGGGACAGAGGGCTTTGTCAACTTAGTCAATATGAACGATTCTAGATCCAGTGACCGTACGATGTCCATCCGACGGCCGTAGTGCTTCTTCAACCTATGGTCTTCTTGCTCCAGCCGCCCAAAGCAGCGCCGGTCTTGCCGCATGCTCCTGCCTCCAGTGGTTGGCTGTGCTGCAGCGGAGGCCTCATCACCCCTACTATTCCCACCACTGTCCAGGCCCTGCAGCGACGGCAGCCTCACACCGCACCCGAACCAGTGAACCCTCATACTCCTCTCCGTGCGGGCTTCCACTGCCGCGTCTTCCCCGGCTCCGCGTCGTCCCCTTCCTATGCGTCGTTGTCGTCCACCACCCTGGTGCTCTCCGCGCGGCATGGTCAACGTGGTCAAGGAATGACTTCCATCGGAAGAGCACTGTACATGGAGAGGTTGATAGCTGGGTCCATGGCGGCCGCAAGGAAGTGCCTCCTTATTACGCACAAAATAATTATTCCTCCACCTGACAGCAGGGACCCACCGGACGGGCCATCATATTTCACGAAAAATGTTTCCCCCATGACTGCTGGGGTCCACCAGCTACATCTTCGCACGCAAGGAAGTGCGTCTGGGCAAAAAAAATGATTCGCCCCCCTGACTGTTGGGACCCACCAGCTACATCTTCGCACGCAAGGAAGTGCCTGACAGTCGGGACCCACCTGGTCGAAGCATACGTAGTGTTGTCATTCTGGTCGCGAACGTGTACGTACATACTGGTGGATGTAGAGGTGTGCACGTGTCGTAGTAGAGGCGCGTACGTAGCATGTACATGTACGTACAGCGGCCAGTGTGCAAGAAAGAAAATACGGCCACGTACGCACATACGGGCGGGGTCTCGAACACCTACTCGCGCATACGTACAGCCAGGGTTCGTGTACATGGCTGGGTCGGAACGAAGGAACAGCGTCGTCGTCGTGTTCATGGGGAGCCAACCGGCTGGGTCGGAACGGAATGCGTCGTCGTGTTCATCGGGAGGGCTTGGACGAAACAGGCGATGGAAGCGAGGCCTGTCATACCGCAAAACGGAGGAAACGGCCTTCTATTCGACTGGACACGTTCGAAACGGGATCATGTTCATCGGAAGGGGTATGGCGTACCGCAAAATGTAGGAAACGGACTTGTGTTGGACCTCCTACGGTCGAAACGGGGTCCTGTTGATCGGAGGGGTGTGGCGTACCGCAAAACGGAGGAAACAGACTAGTGTTGGAGCGCTACGGTAGAAATGGGGGTCCTGTTCATTGGGAGGGGTGTGGCATACCACAAAATGGGACTCCACGGGATACTGTTCATTTCCACTGTCGACCTCCTCCAGCCTCCACGGGCTACTGTTCATCCACCATCGACCTCCTCCAGCCTCCACCTGCGACTGTTCATCCACGGGCTCCTGTTCATCCAGCCTCCACCGCGAGCTACTCCACCGGCTACTGTTCAACCACCCCTCTCCACCGGCTCCTGTTCAACCACCCCTCCACCGGCTACTGTTCATCCACCCCTCCACCATCTACTGTTCATCCAGCCCTCCACGGGGTCCTGTTCATCCAGCCCCAACTGGCTCGATCGATCGGTGTTCTGTTCATCCAGAGGCAACACCACGGGGTCATGTTCATCCACGCCCACCGCTCACTATTCATCCGAACCCCCCTGCAACGCTCACTATTCATCCAGAGGCAGCATCAATCGGCTTCAGTTAGCAGCAGTAGCGAAGGAATCGCTCGATCGGGTCCAGTTAACAGCCATCGACCGATCGCTCGGGTTCAGTAACGCGTAGCCTGCAGTGCAATCGCTCGGGTTCAGTTGGATCCCAAGGTCACGCTCGGGTTCAGTTAGAGCCCAACGCCTCCCACACGCACGTACGTGTTCGAGAGAAATGTGCATCGCTCGGCCCCCGACCACCCACCGTAACCGGGAACTCGTCGAAATTTTCCTTGCCCTTGCTTCTACCATGGTTTTTTCTGTCATGGACGGCCCAAAGAATGTCATGCAGCTGCGTCTCCAGCCCGCCCAGGACGAAAAGCCCATTTTCTGTCATGATTTTTTGTCATAGAAGTAGGATCCCACCACATCTATGATGATACCAGGTTTTGTCACAATTATCGTCATAGAAGTGTCATAAGTATGACAGAAAAAAATTTCGTTCGACCCAAAATGTCACGGATGTGTCTTTTTTTGCAGTGAAGACAAGAAGGCCAAGGCGAAGGACGTGAAGCGCAAGGTCCTGGCAGTACTCGCTGCTGAGCCTAAGATGAAGCGCGGTTGTGATCACCCAGAGTCTTCCAAAGGCAGCCGCCCATTCTGCATTTTCCACAACGTGCATAGCCAAAACACCAACGACTGTCAAGAGCTTAGGGCCATCCGGGATGGGCACCTTGGCCGCCACCCTGAGTGCAATGACCATGGCTACGGCCACGAAGGAGGTCAGGGCGGAGGCCGCAGGGATGATCGTGGCCCCTGTCAGGGTTGGCGCGACCAGCCTCACAAAGACCGCTAGCAGGACCTACCTTGCGACGGCCCGTGGCGGGATGAGCCTCACGAGGACCATCCTCAGGGCAATGCTGGCCTCCCTCTACTGCCACTGCCACCAAGAAGGAAAGAGGACCGCCACCAGGACGATGGGGCTGGGGGCTTCCAAGAGCCTCGTGCCGTCGCCTGCATCCTGGGAGGTGCTCAGGCCCCTGCCTCCCATCGCATCTTTAAGTAGTTCGCTCGTGAGGGGAATGTGGCCCTCCCCAAGCTCGACGCATTGCGTCCACTCAGGTGATCCAAGTACGCTATCACCTTCAACTCTTAGGACCAACTCAAGTGCGCGGCCACTTCATGCATGCTCCCCATGCTCTGCTCACCAACCATCAGCAACATTCTCGTCAACAAGACACTCGTCAATGCCGGCGCTGGGCTCAATGTCCTCTCCGTCGAGACGTTTGACAGTCACCAGGTGCCATATGACCAGCTTCAGCCCACCAAGCCATTCTTGATAACCCACAAGTGTAGGGGATCGCAACAGCTTTCGAGGGTAAAGTATTCAACCCAAATTTATTGATTCGACACAAGGGGAGCCAAAGAATATTCTTGAGTATTAGTAGTTGAGTTGTCAATTCAACCACACCTGGATAACTTAGTATCTGCAACAAAGTGTTTAGTAGCAAAAGTGGTATGATAATAATGGTAAAGGTAGCAAAAGTAAAGGTAGATGTTTTTGGGTTTTTGTAGCAGTTGTAACAGTAGCAACGGAAAAGTAAATAAGCGAAGAACAATATGTGAAAAGCTCGTAGGCAATTGATCAGTAATGGATAATTATGCCGGATGCGATTCCTCATGTAATAGCTATAACATAGGGTGACACAGAACTAGCTCCAGTTCATCATTGTAATGTAGGCATGTATTCCGTAAATAGTCATACGTTCTTATGGAAAAGAACTTGCATGACATCTTTTGCCCTACCTCCCGTGGCAGCGGGGTCCTAGCAGAAACTAAGGGATATTAAGGCCTCCTTTTAATAGAGAACCCGAACAAAGCATTAGCACATAGTGAATACATGAACTCCTCAAACTACGGTCATCACCGAGAAGTA